GTGGAACAGCTGAGTTATCTCCGGTTCCTAAGCGATCCATAGTAGAAGCTGCCAGTTCTGGGTATACCCAGGCACATGGATGCCTGGGGGGTTGGGGGGGACGCTCCTTTGCTTGGAGTATGGCCTGGAGCCAGGCAATCCTGAGTAAGTGGCAATTCTTTCCACAGTGGAGAAGAGTGTTCAGTTGGGTTCAACTGCTTTGAATCTCATTGCCCAGTAGCGTAAATGTGGGTACCAGTGCACAGAGCCACAGTGCATGGTGGAGCAGGTCACTCACTGTACAAGGCTGCTCTGTTAGGATGCTCTGCAAAAACCCCGTGGGAACATCTATTTCTCACTTCACAGGGGTACCTTACAGTCGCGAGCTGTTACCTTGCAGAATTGTACCACATGAAGATATCCAACGGCAGAAGGAGCGGGTACCATTCCCACCCTGGATGAATGCCCAAGTCTAAGCTAACTTTAAGGCACTGTAGATTCAAAGAATCTTGTCCTACTCCTTCAATTCTGTCTCTCCGCCATCCTCTCCTCCAGTGCTGGCTCACAGATGCTTCTCATGGACAGCCCTGCCTTCTCTGCCCATTGCCGACTCCTCGCAGGCTGATTGTGACATTTGATAGCAGAGTTCCTTCCACAGCTTCTGCTCTCAGCTCACCTCTGTTGGCGCTGCTCACCAACAGGTCCTCCAGCCCCTGCCCATCAGCAGCTTTCCATGGCTCTCCTTCCCTGGGCGAGCCCAGATCTCCTGTCTCTGTTCCCCTCTGCCACCCACACCACTCAGAAATGCTTGAAGGCACCCAGGCTAGTCTCTCTTCCCAGCCTTTGTTCACATTCCTGACTCAAAGAGGAAGCACCTCCCCATCTCCTCCGCCTGAATCAGGCAAATTTATCCATTTCTTCAGACACCCCCTCTTCAAAACTGGGGGTGAAGCAGCCTTTTGTTTGGCTGCTAGAGTAATGGGCTAAGTGACAATTCTCAGAATACAATTTTAATTAAGATTCAATAGTCACTTGTCTGTCAGCAATCTTCCATGCTGATTATTTAAAATATATTTACCCAGCTCTATTATGTCACCCATTTGAATTCATTAGACATTTGCTAATCCTCAACAAACTTATTTTTTAAATTGTGGTTTGCTTAACATCGTTTGGTAGGATGACACTGTCTGGAGCAATGGCGTCTGGGCTTCTCCGGCTTCCGGGTGCGTCTCCCACCTTCCCTGCTTTCTTTACCACCTCAGCTGTGTAGAAACAGGTGACAAAAGCCACAGATGAAGGGATCCACAGTCCAGGCAGACCACTGTCCATGCTACACTGAGGTCGGCTGCAGACACAGCCTCTCAACAGAGAACTGGCAGGGCTGGCTGAGAGGGATGTGGAGGGCCGAGCAGAAGATGCTGCCTGAGAAGTAAGTAGGTGGACAGCCTTGGGACTGGCTCCAGGTTTCCTGACAAAAGCGGTTGGTGAAGATTTCCTGCACCCTTGACTAGGCACTGCCCGGGGTGGACCTGGAGGACCAGAGCTCCTCCGAGCCCAGAGAAAGGCAACAGGCAGAGTCCCCCTGTGATTGACAGCCAGAGATGGAGACACCCAGTGGGCCCTGGGGCAGGGGACTGCTCTGCCTCTGCCAGGAGTTTGGTGATGATAGGTACTGGCTGGGCTGCAGCTGCTCCTGAGGGGCCTGGAGCAGCGCTATTAGGAATTAGACATGTGGCAGATTCGACAGGGACACTCGCAATGAAGAAAGTGAAAAGAAGTAAAGCCCTACTTACTGGCTTTTTGCTGGGCCTGTGTTCTTCCGCCACTCACCTCCACCACACAGTTAAGGAAGATGGCCCAAGCAAGATGCAAAGGAATGAGTGGGCCGTGTGCTAATAAAATTTTATTTACAAAACAGACAGCAGACAGCAGTAGTTCACAGGCTTGATCATTAAGGGAGCCCTAATATGGAGGAGGATCATTTGGGATGTGATGGTAAGTGTGAAATACACACCAGATTTCAAAGTCTTCATACAAATAAAAGAATACTCGACATCTCGTCGATAATGGCACTGATGACATTGAAATGATATTGTGGGTGAAATGCAATATGCTACTAAAATGAACTTTCTCTAATTTTAAAGAAGAGATTATTACTGAAAAGTCTAAAATTACATTTGGCTCATACTGAGTTTCTGTTGGACAGAGCTTTTCTCAGCACAACGCCATCTGCAGGTGAAATGTTGGAAAGCAGCTCATCCTTGAAGGGTCTCAAGGGAGGATAGCCCTTAAAGAGGCATCAAGAGGCACCATAAATAGAACTGAAATCTGTATAACCAAACATATGGTTAGACGAGGCTTTTATATATATGGTATGTGTGTATAGTACATACAAGTCACTCTTCTGGTGCTGTGAGAAAATACCATGAGCAAGGCAGCACATAGAAGAAAGAGTTTATTTGAGCTTATAGATCCAGAGGGTAGGAATCCTTGATGGCAGGGTGCAGCGTGACCACAGAAGCAGGAAGCTGAGGACTCATGTCCTGAGCCATAAACACAAAGCAAACAGTGAACGCCAAATGATGAGACTCTTTAAACTCAAAGCCTGCCTCAGGTGACATACTTCTTCCAATAAGACCACACTTCCAAGCCGGGCAGTGGTGGTACACATATTTAATTCCAGCACTCAGGAGGCAGAGGCAGGCAGATCTCTGTGAGTTTGAGGCTAGCCTGGGCTACAGAGTGAGTTCCAGGACAGGCTCCAAACTCTGTCTCAAAACAAACAAAAACAAACAAACAAAGAAGACCATACCTCCTATACCACTCAGACAACATTATCAACTGGGGACTAAGTGTTCAAATGCCTAAGACTATGGGGGACATCTCATTCAAACCATCAAATTATATATATACACACACACATATACCACCTTCTGGGTGCTTTCTCCGTATCTGTGATACTCAAATTGAGACCTATAGAATTCTACTTCCCTTAAATATTAATAACTTGCTCAAAAACAAGAATAGGGTTGGCCAGTGGTTCAACTGATAAAGTGCTTACTGTATGAGTAAGAAGGACTCCATTCAGATCCCCAGGACCCATGTGAAATCCAGGCAAATGTGTACTTACAATCTCAGCTCTGGGGAGGTGAAGACACACGGAAATGAAGCTCACTGGCTAGCCGAGTCGGTGAGCTCCAGGTTCAGTGAGAGACACTGTTTTAAAAACTACAGTGGAGAGCAAATGAGGAGGACATGCGTTGTCAACCTCCAGCCTCCACACACATACCCGGGCGCCTGAAGACACACGAGTGCGCACACATGCACAAAGCAAACAAAAGAAAAACCCCAAAGCAGCACCAAATTAATCCTCAACCTAGTGCCTTCCCTACCGCAGACTGTCTCAGTTCTCCTGAACTTGTTAACATGCACAGAACGTTCACTCAAGCAAGCAAGGGGGCAGCGCATCCCAGCTTCTTGGCCTCGGAAGCCACTTTTGTGGAACCTAATTAGCACTTGGAGAAGCCAATTTGAGGAATGCTGGTCTTTAGGAAGCTGTGCAAGCAGCACACAGGATTTTCTCACAGTCCAACCCAATGGCTTGGGTTTAACATTACACAAAAAAGGTACATAATTGTTACTGCATGGAATAGGGTGAAAACTGTAGAATTGGGAGGGGTAAAAACTCCAACAAATTCGTTTTTCCTACTCTACCTATTGATCCAAGAAAAATGCCTACTAAGTGCTGGCCAGTGAATGAGGGAGGCTCTGAGCACCCTGAGGTGAGAGAACACATCCAGCTGGCAAGAGGTGTGTGTGTGTGTGTGTGTGTGTGTGTGTGTGTGTGTGTGTGTGTGTGTGTGTCAGGGTGTCGTGGGAATGGGGTATCAGGAGAAGCCTCAACAAGAAGGAAACTTTTGAACAGTGATTCTGGTAGGCTGTGAGGGAGTGCCCACCTTGCACACAGGCAATCCTTCCCTTGTAACACATGCCCCTGAAGCGCATGGACTAGGATGGGTGGGCAGAGTCCAGGGAGAGGACCTAGCACCTGTCCGGTTCTCAAAAACATGTTCCTTTACCACCTTCCCTTTCCTGAACGCAAGAGCTGGTATCTAAGTGGCTTGTCCCACGGTTAACTTTCTTCCTGACTACATCCTTCTCCTTTAGGAATGCCAGTCTGCTTTCATGCTTTCCCTGAACTAACTAAGGGATTAACACTGTACTTCACAAGACAACTATGGCATGTACTTCAAACACAAAGGTTATTGGTTGAACCATTGATATGGTAGTATCCATCTATCTCTCCATCCACACATTCGTGAAATTCATCTGTATATTTACCCATTCATTCCATCCATCCATCTACCCATCCATCCTTACATCCTCCCATCTACCCATCCATCTCTCCATCTATCCACTCATTCATCCACTAACCCATCCACCCATCTATCCAACTGGCTATTCATCCATCCATCTTCCTACTCATCTACACATCCACCCTTCCCTCCATCCACTCACCCATCTCTTCATTTATAGACATACCAATACCAAATCTAGCCATTCAGCCAGCCACTCATCTAACTGTCATTCCTCCATCTGTCCACTTGCTTACCTAGCTAAAATCTAACCACCTGCTCATCTGTCCACCCACCAACTAACAAATTCCAACTGAGGAAGTAGGGATGTTCCAGGTATCTAGGCACTGTGGGAAATATTTGGGACACAGCAGTTCATAAACTAGATGGAAGGTCTGCTATCATGGAATTCACGTGATATGCGTTATATAGGAAACAATCTGTAAACACAAAGACAGTGAATCAAGTCTTTAGGAGATGATAACGGCTAAGGCGAAACAGATAAAGTAGAAATGCAATAGAAGAGTTAAATGAAAAGACATGAGTGCTTGCCTGACCTCAGCTTGTCTCTGTTGTTCCCTGAGGCAGTGCGTCATTCCTTGGAGGGAGGAAGTTCTTGGTAAGGGAAATCACCTGCTGACCTTAACCTTGTGTCTCTTCTCCCAGGTGCCAAGGCTGAGTGACCAGACCATGGAGACTCTGCTTGGTGGGCTGCTGGCTTTTGGCATGGCGTTTGCTGTGGTCGATGCCTGCCCCAAGTACTGCGTCTGCCAGAACCTGTCTGAGTCACTGGGGACCCTATGTCCCTCCAAGGGGCTCCTCTTTGTGCCCCCTGACATTGACCGGAGGACGGTGGAGCTGCGCCTGGGTGGCAACTTCATCATCCACATTGGCCGCCAGGACTTTGCCAACATGACAGGACTGGTGGATCTGACCTTGTCTAGGAACACAATCAGCCACATCCAGCCCTTCTCCTTTCTGGACCTCGAGAGTCTCCGATCCCTGCACCTCGACAGCAACCGACTGCCCAGCCTTGGGGAGGACACGCTCCGGGGCCTGGTCAACCTGCAGCACCTTATCGTGAACAATAACCAGCTGGGTGGCATCGCTGATGATGCCTTTGAGGACTTCCTGCTGACGTTAGAAGATCTGGACCTGTCCTACAACAACCTCCACGGACTACCCTGGGATTCTGTACGGCGCATGGTCAACCTCCACCAACTGAGTCTGGACCACAACCTGCTGGACCACATCGCCGAGGGTACCTTTGCAGACCTTCAGAAGCTGGCCCGCCTGGACCTCACGTCCAATCGGCTGCAGAAGCTGCCCCCAGACCCCATATTTGCCCGCTCCCAGGCCTCCTTGCTGACCGCCACGCCCTTTGCCCCGCCCCTGTCTTTTAGTTTTGGGGGAAACCCACTGCACTGCAATTGTGAGCTTCTCTGGCTGCGGAGGCTGGAGAGGGATGACGACCTGGAGACCTGTGGGTCCCCTGGAGGCCTCAAGGGTCGCTATTTTTGGCATATTCGTGAGGAGGAGTTTGTATGTGAGCCACCTCTGATCACACAACACACACACAAGCTGCTGGTTCTGGAGGGCCAAGCAGCCACTCTCAAGTGCAAGGCCATTGGGGACCCTAGCCCCTTGATCCACTGGGTCGCCCCTGATGACCGCCTGGTGGGGAACTCCTCCAGGACTGCTGTATATGACAACGGCACCCTTGACATCCTTATCACCACCTCTCAGGACAGCGGGGCCTTCACCTGCATTGCAGCTAACGCCGCAGGAGAGGCCACGGCCTCAGTGGAGGTCTCCATTGTCCAGCTCCCACACCTCAGCAACAGCACTAGTCGGATGGCGCCTCCCAAGTCTCGCCTTTCAGACATCACGGGCTCCAGCAAGACCAGCCGGGGAGGGGGAGGCAGTGGGGGTGGGGAGCCTCCCAAAAGCGCCCCAGAGAGGGCTGTTCTTGTGTCCGACGTAACCACCACATCTGCCCTGGTCAAGTGGTCTGTCAGCAAGTCAGCTCCCCGAGTGAAGATGTATCAGCTGCAGTACAACTGCTCCGACGACGAGGTACTGATTTACAGGTGAGCCGGTCACTGCGGTGTGGTCAGGTGGGACAGGAGCGTGGTGGGCCAGGGGTGGACACACTGCGTACACCTGTCTCCATCTCCCTTCTCTCCAGAGGTGCCTGTGGGGATCCTGGGTCACCTGTGCCTCTGCTACAGGTAAGGGGCTCCCACCTGGATAACTGAAGAGGTGTGGATGTGGAAGGACTGTCTCTCTCAGAAGGGGGCAGAGGTGTGATAGTTATATGGCTAGATACTTCTGAGCTACTTGCCAGGAGATCTGGGCCAGAGCGGGACCATTGGGAAATCCAGTGGATGAGGAACCTCTGATTCCTAGCAGCCATGGCAGAAAACTATGAGACCAGAAAGGGCTGAGGATGGTGGCCTGGCTCTCACTTCTCCTAGTCGGCCTCAGTTTCCTCAACTGTGAGATGGGCCTAATCTGCCCAAGATGATAGATGTTGATAGCAAGTAGTTTATTCAAAGTAAGTGTGTGTGTGTGTGTGTGTGTGTGTGTGTGTGAGAGAGAGAGAGAGAGAGAGAGAGAGAGAGAGAGAGAGAGAGAGAGAGAGAGAGTAGTGGAGCTATCCTGTATTACCTCAAATCACTGAGAAGAACCTGCTTCAGGCTTAGCTCGATGAAAGGCCCTCCACAAATGCCCCATGTGTTCAGTTTCTTATTACCCTAATTCTCCTTTCCTCTGGCTTGGGTCCTGCCTTGGGCTGCCTCTTTCCTCCAGAGATGTCTGCCTTTTTTCTTTGCGACCCCAAACAGAGAAAAGCTTCCCCTTGTTGGCCTAGTTCTGGACCCCAGACTGGCTCATGAGGTCCTTCCAGGGCTTATAGGGGCTTATCCTGTCCAGCACCCCTCTGGACACCAGGCTTCTTATGGAAAAGGTTTCAATGACGCTGACCTTGTTAAGTGGCTGTGAAGGTCAAGGGTCATCCCCAGGCCTGCTAGAAAGGAAAGCTAACCATTCAAGGGCAATAGAACTATAGAGCTCAGCCAGCTCTATTGATAAATAAAATCAGAGCAACCTCAGCAATCTGGAGGCAGAGGCAGGAGGATCACAAGTCCTAGGTCCACCTGGGCTGCATGATGAGTTGCAGGCCAGTCAAAGCTTCATAGAGAGACCCTGTCTTAAAAGACCAAACAGCACCAAAAAGAAAATCACATATCACACAAGCCATAGTCAGACACCAGAACCTGCAGGGTTGATCTCAGAGGAATTCTTTCCCATACTGGCCTCAGTTTCAGTGAAATTGAGGGATGTGACATGGAGGCTTATTGCTCAGGGGGTCTGTGGTGTCCTGTGGAATCCTGTTTGACTTCGTGCTCACAGAATGACTAGTTTGAGAATGCAGCCACAGGCCTCAGCAGATGACTCTAGAGGCCACAGTCCCAAAACCTGACTGAGTCCCATCTCTGAGGACTCCAGGTTGACCAATTTCTGGTTGGAAACAGAGCTGGTAAGGAAGAGGCCAGTGTGTTCCCAAGGGCCATTGTACAATGGAAACCACAACAGAGCTGGGAACACCCTTACCTGGAGTGTGTGTGTGTGTGTGTGTGTGTGTGTGTGTGTGTGTGTGTGTGGTGTTTCTACTAAATGAAATGCAGTCTCTGTAGAAAAATGGGCGAATCAAGTTGTGAAGAGGGCAGTTAATTTACCTTGCTCTCCCACCGTGCCGCTCCAGCAGGGAAGGCCTTAGATAGTGCCCTGTTTTATACCAGATCCCAATGGTGTGAGTCGTCCATCTGCACCATTATTACATCTTCATCCTTTCCACCCGAGACCTGAGCTGGCTTGGCTGGCTTAGTTCCTACGACACTAAGATTTTCTCTGTTGATTTAACAGTTAGCCTTCAATCAGTGGAGTTTTAAGTGGCTTCTCATTTTTCAGTAATAAAAGTAACATTATGATGGATATTTTTTATACCAAAATAAAAATACATTTGGTGAAATGCCAATGATTCTCTCAGCATATTCTCGTCAGGGTTGAATTATGGGTTTGACAAGTCAATTATAACGCTTGCTTGTTGTAGTTGAATATTTATCCCCTCCCTCACAGGTGGCACATGGCGATCTTGATCACAGCTCTCCCACTACTGCCCATGCAATGTCTTTTTATCTTTGTCAGTTGCAGAGGTGGAACACAGACCTGGCTTTAATTTACATTTCGGTCCTAGCTTGTGAAGCTGACCTTTTGAAAAATAAGTGCATTTTCCTCACTGTGGATTTGTCATATGGCTTTGACTTTGATTAAAAAAAAAAAACAACAACAACAGCAAGCAGCCCCCAGCGGTGTGGCTGGCCAGGAGCTGTGAGTGTGTGGAGATGAGGGGGCACACAGGCGGCAGCATGGCCACGTCACTGCTATAAAGTCGTCATCTCCTACCCTCCCCGGTGTCTCATAAATACCTGGAGCGACACCAGGGCTTGGGGCTGAGTTCCTGTTGTTGCTCAAGGGGAAATTCAAATTTATTCTCTGACTGACTGGGAATCTAAAGAGGAAAAGTTCGTCAAAAGTGTCGAGCCAGTTGTGGCTGTGTGGGCCTCTGATGCCAGTGCCTGGGGAGGCAGATTCAAGCGGCTTTCTCGGAGTGGAAGGCCAATCTGCTCTCTGTACTGAGTCTTCGGCCAGCCTAAGTGTCTTAGTCAGTGTTTTATTGCTGTGAAGAAATACCATGACCACGGCAACTCTTATAAGAAAAAGTATTTAATTCGGGCTGGCTTATAGTTTCAGAGGTTTAGTCAGTTATCATCATGGTAGCACACAGGCAGACCTGGTGCTGGAAAAGTAGCTGAGAGTTCTACAACCAGATTTGCAAACAGCAGAAAGAGAGGCAGGACCTGGCTTGCGCTTTTGAAACCTCAAGCCCACCCCCAGTGACACACTTACTCCAACAAGGACCCACCTACTCTAAAAAGGCCACACCTCCTAATCCTTCTCAAGTAGGATGACTCCTGAATGACTAAGCACTTATATATGAGCCTGTGGAGGCCATTTCTATTCAAACCACCACACCAGGCTACTTAGTGAGTCCTTGTTTCAAAAAACAAAAACAAATAAGAGAAAAAACATTTAAAAAAAAAACTAGACTAAAAAGGAGGCATCAGAAAAAAAATAAAACTGCAGCGGTTAAGGGAGACTCCTTAATGCTGTTCACAAAGACTAGATGAGATACCACAAGAAAAGTGCTTCATATAGAGTCTAAAGAGACAGGTCTGTTGGTAAAATACTTGCTTTACAAGAATAAAGACCTGAGTTTGGATCTCTAAAATTCATGTAAAAGTCAAGCATGATGACTGACACCTGTAACCCGGCACTAGGGTTTGGAGCTAGGGTGATCCTTGGAGCATGGGCCAAACAGTTGAGGAGCTCCAGGTTCAGGGAAAACTGTCTCAAAAACATAAGGTGGAGTGCAATTGAGAAAGAGAGCTAATGTTGACCATTGGCCTACTCACTTGCATGCATACATGCATGTTTATGTTCATGTACACATGTGCACATGACACACACACACACACACACACACACACACACACACACACACACACATATGCCCCATCCCTCCACACATATGCCCTCACACACACATGTCCACCCCCTACATACACACACACACACACACAAAAGAAAGCTCTCCAAGTAGTATTGACCCATGTTAAGCAGCCAGGGCATATAGGGTAGTGTTAGTATTGCTAATACTAGCAAAAGTAATAGCAATCCAAAACAAGACCATTATATTTCCTGCTATCCTGGGGGAGGAAGTGGAAGAGGACTTTCGATATCCCATCTAGTCTTAGCTGTAAGAAGATAGATGTCCAAAGCTTTGTAGAAAGTTCTAAGGAGGGTGTGCTCTCCGAGGAGAGATTGCACAATCACCAGCACCAACATTTTTGCAGCCTCACTGTGTGCATGAGGAGCAGCCTTTGCAGACTCCATCTCATTTAACCCTCTTGGACATACCAGGTATTAAGGGACAAGAGATATCACCAAAGTTCCCCAAGATCACACAGTCAGAAAAAGGTTTGGATGGGTATTCCAGAATGGCAGTACTGGGAGGCCCTGTGGACCTTGAAGAGGTGGAGACTTGAGAGAAGTCATGGGGTCATTGGAAGGGATTAAAAGACCCTAGTCTCTCCTCTCCCTTAATCTATCACTATCTGTCCTACTATTTATCAATCGTGTATCTGTCATCTATTATTATGTTAGTTACTTTTTTGTTGCTATGATAAAATGCTATAACCAAAGGAACTTGTAGAAGAATGAGTTTGATTTGAACTGTGGTTCCAAAGGGTTAGTGGTGGGAAAGCATACAGCAGTAGCCAGAAGCAGAGTTAGCTCCATTAACTGCAAGCATAAAGCAGAGAGAGTGAATTACAAGTGGCTCAAAGATTTAATCTTTCAAAGTCTGCTCCCAGTCACACACTTCCTTCAGCAAGGCCACACCTCCTACACCTCCAAACAGTGCCACTAACTGGGGACCAAGTGTTCAAAAGCCTGAGACTATGGGTGACATTCTCATTCAAATGACCACAGTCATCTCTCTGTCTTTCTGTCTATCTATCTCTAACATCTATCTATCTATCTATCTATCTATCTATCTATCTATCTATCTATCTATCTATCTATCTGTCTGTCTGTCTGTCTGTCTGTCTGTCTGTCTGTCTGTCTGTCTGTCTATGTATCTATCTATGTATCTATCTATGTATCTATGTATCTATCTATCTATCATCTCTAACATCTATCTATCTATCTATCTATCTATCTATCATCTAACATTTATCTATCTATCTCTAACATCTATCTATCATCTATCTAACATCTTTCTATCTATCTCTAACATCTATCTATCATCCATCATCTATCTAACATTTATCTATCTATAACATCTATCTATCTAGCTGTGAGCCAGTTGCTTTCATCAGCTTCCTGTCACCGTCACCTGGTCCACCACAGGAAGTCCTAAGCAGTAGAGCCATCCAGTATTGGTCCTAAACCTCCAGAACCAAGA